TCAACCACGCCCCAGAAAAATAGGCGTGATATGGAGTGTAGAACCTAAGGGAGGGCTGGGGGTTTTCCTGTTGGAAAACAAAAGGTCCCTGAGGCATTTCCTCCCGCATGGCAGGAGTCGATACATGCTTCTGTCGTCTCTTCAAGCCATTTGTAATGGTTTCCCAAAATTAGGGGTACCTTGTTTGGGGGTCCCTATAGTAAGGACTCTAGTATTTTGGGGTCTATATTGAGGTCCCCTTATTTTGGGAAACTACCATTTGTAATGGTTCCCATTGTTCCTACCAGTCGCACGTGCTGACGCCAACGTGTTGATATACCATCATCTCAAGAATGGATCATCTGAGCGTTGCACCGGTGAACAGCTGACAGAGAATGATTCCGATACCTGTGGCAAACGACGTTGAGTTTGATGATTGGAAACTCAGGTCTTGTAAGCCAAGGTTCCATACAAGAAACACGTGTGGAAAAGCAGCATCAGAGTACTATCAGAAAGCGCTTTCCGCGCAGTCTTTGCCGGGGACGTGCAACCTACAGAAGCTTCGTCACCCAAACCCCATCTTCTAAGTTTTTAGGGCCCAGTGCCGCCTCTGCTTCGACCACACTGTAATTCGCAACAGTGTGCAGATGCTACATGGTGAGTGCAGCTTGCATTCAAAGGTAAACCTAACCTCCCTCCATTGACTGAGTTCGCAACGTAGAGTTGCGGGGGTCACTGTGTGTGTTTATGGTTTTCAGTATCCTTGCTGTATACACCATCGAAATAGGATGCCTCTTTCAAGGAACGCGCTCACAACAAGGACGCACAAAGCTTCAAATGCTGAATGCCAAGTCATTTATAGCTCCCAGACTATATCACCTCCATACGATCGACGCAGCCCAACAAAAAGGGACCGCCCACATCTAATGCAGCCTGAGACTGAGCGCCTCCCAGGAGGCTTGAGAAATTCGTTTATCACGGTAGTGTATTCTATGGTGCGATACTTCACTGCAAAGCCGAGTACACAAGTAATAAGGGTTTATCAGTATGGGCAGTCTTGTCGCAAGGTGCAGGGGCCAGAATGATACGGGAAAACTCACCCTGCTCCTTGGGTAGCCAAGGTACACCTGGTTCTGCAAGGATTGCACAAGGATTGTTGAAGCGGTTTTTCGATTTCTGGATTACCCTCACGCGTCACATATATATATATGTATAATATAAATATGTATATATCGACTTCTGCTGCAAGTCAGGAGAATCAGTAGTTGGGAATTCCTCTTAGAATGAGTTGCACCCCGAAGCACTTGCACAGAGCAGCTGAGGCAGCGGGCTAAAAAGATCGGCTTTCTGATCGTAAGACCTGGCAATGCTGGCTTCACTTGGACTGGCTTCAATGGCAAGGATGGAAGTCCGCACCGCATCGCACCACAAACTCTTTGTGACTATCCGAAGTAGACCATTATTCTACGTGGATTGGAGGCGGCGCCAGTATCAGCCAGAGCATAAACACAAAAAGCAGGATGATGAAGGAACTTAATGATGGGGCCTCTAGGAGAAGAGATTTCGCACGTAAAAGGATGACGCTGCTGCAGCTGTAGGAATCTTAAATGAAGCCGGCTAGCCATTCCGGTCCAACTCTGACACTCATCCATTCATGACAAACTCAGGAGTTTGCCCTTCGATCATCTCGGGCGCCATGTAGTGCGGCGTCCCCGCCTTTTGCATGACCTGCGCTCGTGACTTGTTGATTCACGAGCTTCGGGAACCTAGGATCTCCATCTAGACAACCCAGACTGGGAGGCTGAAATTGGCCCCGAATGTGAGGCGTCCTTAGCTGAGCTGAAGACTCCTTGAGTAGCTAAACCCTAAGCCCCAAAACCCTAAGCCCTAACTAAGCCCTATAAGCCCTAAAGCCCTAAATCCTATGCCCTAAAACCCTAAATCCTAACCCCTTCAGCCCAAAACCCTAAACCCGACCCTTCGAAAGGGTGGGGGCCAACAGCTACCAAAAAAACAGCTGTTTGCAAAGCAGCTCTCTGAGCGTCTAGACTCCTAATTAGTACTATCATCCTATCATCATTATTGTCATTAGTATTACTATTAAACGGTCTATATCGGGGTTATGTAGGGATAATGGAAAATGGAAACTACTGTCTTTAGTGTGTATGTGCATATATATATATGTATATATTTGCTGCAACTGCATCACGAAACTACGTGCGTTGACACATCAACGCACGGCCTGCTTACTCATTAGGAGACCTACGATAAGTGCTGCCAAAAGCACCCTAAGAAAGCATCCATGCAGAAACCTAAAGAACTTTGATCACTCGTACAGGGATGGCCGCAGCTCAAATGCTGTGACGCCGCTCGCTTTCAAAGACAGCTGCGCCACTATGCGAGTATGACTGAGACTCAGGATAGCCGGCAAGCACGCGCCAAAATCCGAAGTAACACAATTATCAACCTTGTACCCCTAAACCCTCAACCTTAAGCCCTACAGTCTTAGGCCCTAAACCCTTAACAGTACTTGAGCTGGAGACTCCCGGACTTCACATGGCACCGGGGTTCCAACGCGCTTGCGCTCATGCCAGGGAATCAAATGTCGGCCATTGACCGAAGGACTGGGCCGGCGGTCCACGTTCTGTTGTAAGGGTTTATATAAGGAGAATGGATAAGAAAATGGAAGCTACGATTTAGTTAGGGTTTAGGGTGTTTGGGAAAGGGTCCGGGAGTTTAGAAGACACTTTGTAGCAGATTGCTACGCAGGTTTCTGCACAGGCCGCAGACATTCCAAAGTTGCATTGTTGTAACTTCTGGTCATGAATGCTTTAAACCCTCAACCCCAAACCCTAAACCCCTAAACCCTTAAACCCCTCAACCTTAAACCTAAACCCTGAACCCTATTTTATAGCACCAGCAATCCCTCTGGGCCGGCTCTGGCTCCACCAAAGTCACCAAAGGGTCCATTTGCAGCTGTACATCTGCCATCCCTAGGGTTTAGGGTTTAGGGGTTTAGGGTTTTAGGGTTTTAGGGTTTAGGGTTCAGGGTTTTAGGGGTTTAGGTTTAGGGTCTGGGTTGCTGTTAAGGAACTTAAATTAAGTTACCATAATGGGTATTATATAGTAATTTATAGGATTCCCCCAATATAGTGACTTAATCTAAGTTCCTTAACAGCAACTCAAAGCAAGCCTAAGCCCAAAAGGGCGAGTCACGAGGCTATTGTGCGAGAAGTCGCACTAGTCTGGGTTGCTGTTAAGGAAGTTAAATCAGATTACCATATCCTGGATATGCCGTAGATAACACGGCTCCTCGTTAAAGCAATTTAATTTAAGTTCCTTAACAGCAGCACATTGGTTTCTGTGCGAGTTCCTGTTATCGTGATACGCAAATTGAAGCCTTCACTGTTTCCACTGTTTCCACCATAACGAATGCCTACATTTACACTGTCATATGCTGAACGTGGAATTCTCAACTTGACATGCAATCACTATGCCTCCTAAAGCTACGAGCCTGAGCTATTTGAACGGCAAAGCTTCGAACTGGTAGCCTCTTGCAGCAATACAGTCCTCTGTCAAGGAGCAATTGCTAATCTGGGTCTTGGCAAGCTTACCTGTCCGGATTTAAAACCTCCAAAACTTTGGAAGACAAATCGAAGCCTGGTCCAGCTCCGACCCCCAAATCAGAAACTGTCAGGATTCATCTGTGGTGTGTTATGGGATATAGGAGGTTCCATGGGGAGATTAAAGATATGGATAGATGTAGTAGTCTCCCAAAATGAGGGGACCCCAGTATAGACACCCAAATAGTATAGTCCTTATTATGGGGACCCCCAAAAAGGTACCCCTAATTCTGGGAAATCATGTAGAGCAGTCAAGAGACCCTCAAAGCCTGTTACCTCAGTCGCAGGCAGCATGCGCGCCAGACGGCCCATGGTGCCAGACCGGGCGACTTTGACCTCCTTGGCCTCAGCTTTTGAATCGTAATTATTACTATTCCTATGATTACTATTACTATTCTTACTTATTATTACTATAATTGTCATTACTATTATTATTACTATTCTTACTTATTATTACTATAAATGTCAGTACTATTATGATTATTACTATTCTTACTTGTTATTACTCGAGTTGTCAGTACTATTGTTATTACTATTGCTACTATACTGTTAGTATTGTTACTGTTGCAGTTGCTTTTCGTCAGGGAGGTTGGCTTCTCCGATGGTACAGCTGCAAGCCAGATCTCAAATCCATGAAGCGTACACAGGAATGTGCTCTGTAGAATCCTGGCTGCGTTCACCCTACACCCTAAACCCTAAACCAGAGCCCTTGGTTGCAGAAGGAAAGCAAAGCAGAGAGGTAAGCCAAGGCTAAGCAGGGCAACAAGACGCAAGGAAACGGACCTTTAGAATCCGCCTACCCCAGGGGAAGGGCATGGCCCCATGAAGGCTGAAGGCTGTCGACAAGGAAGAGATTGCAACTTTCTCAGCTTCAAGTCAGCGAGAAATGCTGGAGAAGGCCTGAGACATAACCAGGATTGTCAATGCTTGGAACTGAAAAAGCCTTGGTCCCTGGCCTGTTCGCGGATCTTCTCGTGGAAGTTCGCAAGACCGAAATCGATTCTGCCGAGAGCACGAGGGCTGTAGGATGAAATGGTAGGGCATACACGTGTGATTGAAATGGACAAGGGATGACCCGAAGGATGTCCTGCCTTGAATGACAAGTTTGGAGATAATGACAGACATAGTTGTACTCCCTTCCCTACTAAGAATGACTCAGTTTTTCATACCTGAGCAGACACATGTGTGAGTGTGTCTGCAGACTCAATTTTTTTGAGCAGTATTCCCATTTCGCCCTGTCTAGTCATCCCTTGCTTAGCACAACTTACTGGCTCTTAGTAGGGAATAAGGAAATCTCATCCCTACATAATTCCTATATAGTATATCCCTTATTCCCTACTAAGAACTAGAAAGACAAATCCAGGCCGGCAAGGCATTTTAAGGGGGGAGCTGGCGCTCCGATCGACGAAGAGGATGTTCTCCGGCCTCAGACGAAAAGCTACAAAGAGCCCTTACCTTCAATGGATAAAAAAAAGTGTATATAGGGACCATGGGGAGTTATATGAGGGGTATATCAGGCTTAGGTAAGACAGGGAAGATGGTATATAAGGTTATATAGGGACCATGGGGAGTTATGTATGGGGTATGTAAGGCTTAGGTAAGAGCCCTTACCTTTGGGGGCGGGTTCCTACCATGGGCAGACCATCGTGCAGATTTCAACAAGCATGGGTCACCCCGGGCCGCTCCAACCTGTTACCTTGTATGTATTAGGAGGACCCCCCACCCCATACTAGTGGTATAATGAGAATATAAAAGGACCTAATATAATCCCTATTATCCCTTAGAGTTACTATTTCGGGGCGGGGGGTCCACCTATATGTATGGTAGCGCAGACAGCCCTTCAGCTCTGCGAAAACACAAAAACCTATAAAATTCGGGTCTGGGGATGAAACCTTTGGTTTATATAGGGATTATATTGGGGTAATATTGAGATAATGGAAAATAGAATGGAAACTGCTATATTCTAAGGCGCAAATTCTTGTTGCCCTGTCTAATGCAGTGCTGCCTGAATACTTTCCTTGCGCTAGTTCTTGCACAGTGCGCAATCACTTTGACTCCCTACATACCCAACGGAAGCCCCACGCATCCTGGAAAGCACCTGCGTAGCAAGATTTCCTGAGTGATCGCATGCTCTTCTGACACATTCGGTAGCTCGTTGACATCGCAATTGACAAAGGGTGCAAAGGCCCATCTCGCTCAGTATTACAGTAGCTTCCATTTTCTTTTCCATTATCCCTATATAACCTCAAAATATTCCCTGTTCTGATCTGGTAGTTTCCATCTTCTTTTCCATTTTACCTACTATAACCCCAATATACTATATGTTAGTTGCCATGTTCTTTTCCATTATCCCTATGAACCCTAAATCTACACAATCTAAACCCCCAACATAAAACCCTAAGCCCTAAACCCTAACCCCTAAACCCTAAGGCTGGTACTTGATGTCGCGATGGATGATACCCTTGTCGTGACAATATTTCGTCGCTGAGAGGATCTGCTGCCTTGGTTTAGCAAAGACAAACGTTACGGGTTTAGGGTTTAGGGTAGTTCGAGGCAATGCGTTGATGGCTTTGAGGCTGGCACTTCAGAGGTGCAAACAAGAATTTACAGCTCCTAAATGAGGCTTGGTAAGCCAAGCCAGTATCCTTAGCGAAGCAAAGCACACGACATTTGACATAGGAGATAGTTGGACCCAGCGGAATCTATTTCTTTGATGTGTCACTCCCTTGCGTTACTTTGTGCGTAGGCAGTAATTAAACCAACCTCGCAAAGAGGAAACCGAAGCCGTGATCGCAGGCTTCACCATCGTGATTATAGCAGCTTGATGGCTCTGTTGCTGGCTACCCAAACCCTGACAATCTGTGGCCCCGCAAACCACCACCATGTGGCCAGTGAGCATGCTGAGCTCCGAACATCATGAACGCCACGTGGCTCTCTGTCATGGGCTGCTTCAACCTCTACAACATGACAGATCAGCAAGCAGTCACCCGCATAGTAAGCATTGCTGGGACGTCCATTTTGTGTGTTAATCTTCAGGTTCTTGAGGGGCTAGGGCTCATCTGCAGAAAATAAGCGGTGTCAGAGAAGGATTGCGAGGAGCACGTGACCTCCACCAGATTTCAACGAGGACCGCGCGTTCCTTGGGATGCCCCTTGCAGCATGCCAGTTTCAGCTGGCTCTTATGTGCCTTCTCTTCTTGTCCCGAGCCAGAAACTCTGCCTCTCCGGCTGCAAAAGTCCTCTTCAACCTTTATCCTTAACTACAGCAATCCAAGCCATAAACCAGCCAAAATGGTGTTTGAAGGAAAGATTGCGGCAAGCGCGTGCCAAAAGCTGCTAACTGCTTCCACTTCTTCATTGTTTCCCAGCATAGATAATAGGCTGTTATTGACGGCAAACTCAGTTGCAGGACTATGAAGATGGCCATTGACCCTTGTCTCCTGAACTTTGCCTGATCAAACTGGCTGTCCTCTCGTAGTGATGGAGAATTCGTGAGAAGAGATCTCCTCCCTCACACAGCTCCGTCACCAAGTAAATGTTACCTCACAAGCAGAAGGGAATTGTTTAATCTCGCTCAGGGAGAGCAACTCAGACAAACTGTGCACTGGTTGTTGATGTTAAACTGTTAAAATACTCAAAGCATCCCTTTAGTATCGGGCCTCTTGCTCCGCACGCAGCGTTTACTTCAAAACGAAGCCGTTATATGCTGCCTTGCAAGGTCCTGGCTCTGAGACGTTGCTCAGATGCCCGCATAAGCGAAACTACGACATCTAAAGCCCAAACCATCCCTATCTACCTGCAAGCACAGTTCTTCAACAGTCCAGCCCCAAGCACGTAGATCCCTATTTCGCAAAACAGCAAAACCAGAGGAAAGGCCCACACCGCTTGCCACTTGGCCACTTTCCGACGCCTCCGTGAGACGCAAGCATAGGGTCAGGCAAGCATGAACTGGAAATAGTAGTTTCCCCAAATAAGGGGACCCCAATACAGAGAAAAAGTTCTATCATCCTTATTATAGGGACTGCCCAATAAGGTTCCCCGCGCTGTGGGAAACCCCAGAAGTTGATGCGAAGGCCGAGCTTGCAGAGGTTTCTAACCCTTCCAGTAAAAAGTTGATCAGCCAGGGAGAAAAGATCTTCAAATGTCTTCGAAAAGTCTAGAGAGGTAGATTTCAGAGAGCTCCAATCCTAAACCCTAAACCCTAATCCCTAAACCCTAATCCCTAAATTCTAAACCCTAAACCCTAACCTCCAAAACCCTAAACCCTAAAGGTTGACTCAATTCCGAGGTTCCTAGCCAGACCCTCATGGAAGCTTGCTTCGTTACAGGCACCAGGGCCAGGATGCTGTTGGCCCTGCTCTGTCCGGCTTACCATTGGCTAGCTAGCACTGAAGGAATGGATCCTTATGGTAGTCCCTATATAACCCATTATAGTAGTTTCCATTTGTTTTGCCATTCCTCCATTCCCAGCTAACCTTTCCCTGCTCTTCCCAACGCCAGGGAAGATGTTCATGAGATGAAAGAAGCTCTGTACAAGCTTTGCCTGAAATCTAGCGTGCCGATTTTGACAGTTGATGCTGAGGGCCTTGCTGTAATTTCTCGCTTCTTATTCATAGTCTGAAATATGGGTTCGTGCTTTGAAATGTGGCCCACATGCAGGGATAGGCTCAAATGAGTTGTGTTTCATGGTGACTAAACCATGTAAGGCTACATGCTTCTTGTAAAGCACCAGGCCCACAAGGAGGACATAATCTTAATCTCTATTGGGTGCCATAGTATCGCCAAATAATCCAAATACACCTTGGGATCCTTCAATGCAGGCGTTTACTTCACAGCATAGTTGGCTCACACCCATCTGCCGAGAAGCAGAGTTTATCAAATCTGTGGAGAACGGTCCAGTTTTCTTAGCCAAGACATGGTGTAGCCCTGCCTGCTCGAAGTAGACTTCGTGCATTTTCATGATGTGAGGGTGGTTGAGCGACCTCACAAACCGAGTGATGTCTGCATTCATGTTCTGAAGCGACCTCATCGCGTAATCAATATGTGAGCAATACTTGCTAGCTGATTGTACAACTTGGATCTGTTGAAAAACATTCTGAGATCAAGCGTGTTTCAGCCTAAGCTTGTAATTTAGCAAGCCACCGTTGCAGTGCTTTGATAAGGTTTTGGTTCTGACAGCGCTGCACATATCTATTCACACAGTTTCCTACAAGTACTCTTCACCAACATAGCAAAGTGCACTGTAAGGTCGGAGGAACAACGTGGGACAATCAAGAGCCAACCAGTCATTGTCAGAGCTTTCCCGTGCAAGACTTCCTTCAATTGGGCTGTTGCTAAAGAACCTAAATTAAGTTACCATAATAATATAGGGTAATCTGGTTACCCAGACAACCACACACCTGCGCACAATGCACACTCTGGGCAAAACCAGTCTTTTCAAACCAGTTGCTTCAGGAGTCGAATCTCATTGTCCATGAGCTCCCGCTGTAGGGCGGTTTGTACGGCTACAACCTGCACCATGTGTGGGGACTTTGACGCTTTGAGCCGGAGTTGTCATGTTTTTGGTAGGGGCCGAGCTCTAGTTATATAGCCTGGGCTTCTGACGTGGGTCTTAGAACTTCGGTTGCGCAATTTCATGGGCGCAGCTTTCAAATTTGAGATGTAGATTGGCTTCTATGGAGGTGCTTGCATGAGAGGTACAGCTCTACATATAAGGCCCCGAGTACATGTTTCTAGGGTGATGCACATGTATCATAATCTATACTCCTAGTACCCCCCCTCGGTAACCCCTATAGTAGTCCCCTTTTTAAACCCCTGAGGAGTTTAGACTATAGCTCACATAATAGTCCTTTGGAGCTGCAAAACACTTGGAGCTTCTGTAAGCCGCCTCACGTCAACTTACGTACCATCTACCCTGCATCATCGCTCGTCAAGATTACCACTGCAAGAGCCGCAACTTCGGCTGAAACAGGACGTTCCGCAAAGAATTCTAATGTAGTGTACATGGAACCCCTAAACCCCTGAACACCTAAGCCCTAAACCTTAAACCCCTAAACCCCTAAACCCTTAAACCCAAAACCGAACCATCAAACCCTAAACCCCTAAACGCTTGACCCCTAAACCCTATAATCCTGTGAGCTTGACAAACTACTGTGAACATTGACTGCGCTGCAGCGATCGGCCTTGCAGGCCCTCAGCTGTTTCGTGCTCCTTGGCAACTTTGCACTTCGGTGGATGTAGCAAAATCTTGCACCATTTAAGAACCCCAAAGTACTGTAATTACCAATATTGGGGCTATATAGGCTGGTGCAAGATTTGCTCCATCCACAGTAGGTAGGGGGACAAAGGAGCAGGTTCCGTAGATAGGGGGACCCCAATATAGACCCCAAAATATTATGGGGACCCCGGTTGGAGATTTGGGAGTTTCCCCAAGAGTGGTAGTCGCTAAAAATTCAAGCCACTCTCGCCAGTCTTCTTCTTGCAACTTTACGTGGGCTTGTCTCAGGCTGATCTACACAGCACTGTTGCCTCTTTGCATGCCTTACTCAATCCAGCCCTGCTGTTGGAAAGGATGAGTAGTTTAGCGCTCAAACATGGTTTCCGCTGCAGTCGCATCTTTCTGCGGCTTCTCTGCTTGAAAGTTGACCAGATCTGAAACCAAACTCTTTGAAGTGTGCATCACTTCACGCCAGGGCTCTTGGAGACTGGACATCCTCGCTTCAGAGTTTTGCGAGTATGAGCTGTGCGACAATGTTTCCACGCACCTCCCTCTACAGTAGGGGCTGCAAGACCCTGAACGACTGAATCACCGCTGTTTGTCTTGCAGGGGCACGGCACAATGTGTCGGATACCGTACTTTCCCATGATTTCAACTGAAAAAGCCGCGACAAGTCGTCTCAGCGCTCTGCTTATGCCGAACCAGCATGACCTGGCTGCCCGGTCCACAGGATCAAGTCAAGGCTGCGGTTGAGGGTAGGGTTGGTGGTCTTTGAACCTTTTGCAGTCGACCTGATGTTAGTGGCATTCATGACACCTGTTCTGCTAACATGGGACACGTTTCATGTAAGTTGACACTTGCTACTTTATCAAACTAGACACATGCAATGCATTTGACCAGGGCGCTTTCAACCTATATTCGCAAGGCAACGCGAAGAAAGACCTCTGAGGCTTATAAAGCCTAACAAGCCCTTAAGCAAACCCCAGGGAAACCAAGCGGGGGTAATCATCTATAGTCTATGTCGGCACAGCAACCTGAGTTAGAGTTGACCAGCTTGCGGTCTCAAGTTGTGACACCTCAATCTTCCGACTTGAGTTCTTCTTTTCCACAAGGCTGAATCGTGTCTCGTGCGGGGTTCCCCAAAAGAGTGGTAGCTCTGCAAGACTTAATCACTACACGATACTCGTTCTGGCGGTGCCGACAAAGTAGAGCTTGTCTGCCCATACTCCCATGGAACTTAAAATCTCATGTCCTGCTCTGAACTGTACTGAACTGCTGCCTGCCCGAACAAAACCACAGTATGGTCTTGGTGTAAGACTAGATTAGACTTCGAAAGCTAGTTCTAAACAACAAGCAACAATGCTCAGGCGCAAGAACAGATTCAAAGCAAAACGATGCAAAACGGACTCTCCTGTGCGTACCATGAACCCTCGATCAAGTTTACCTTCCCCAAGACGCCAGCAAAAGCACGCACCCTCTTACTCTGCCATGAAGAATCAGACTCCACCTTTATTAGCCAGGTGTATCTGTTTGACAAATTCCAAGATGGCNNCCCCCCCCCCCAAAAAAAAACTACACAACATCTTATAATGCTAATCTACGGACTGCCCCATAAGATCCCTCATGTTTCGGAAGCCTGCCATTGTTTGAAAGGTCTTTCTCAATGGCCCCCTCCCCCCCCTGGCCTTGCCAAAGGAGCCGGAGCCCACATCTCCACAAAAGAGGTAATCATCAAAGATGGCAAGACGTCCCACATGGGTGGGGAACATCACCTGAGCTATAGTCTCAACTCCTAGTATCCCCCTTGATAACCCCTAGAATGGTCCCCTATAAAATCCCCTGAAAAACCTGCATTGCAAGAGCTTAGACTACAGTTCTCTTGCATGTCTGCGTTACGCTTGTTTGGGACTAGGGTAATGTATGTTGCCACAAGCCCGTGAACATTTGCAGCTTGAATATTCCACGATTTCGAATCCAGAAACCCTCACGGCCGATCCAGTGTTCAAGAGATCGCAGTGCAGTTTTCAAGCCCCGTGGTCAGCTGCAAGCTCCACCACTGCGTGCCCAATGCTTTGGGATTTCAATCTCCCATACCGAAGCCCTGACGCCTTTGCCCTCTTCCCTTGCATTTTTGGCATCCCTCAATACCGAAGGTTCAAAACCCAAAGACTTGAAACGCCCGTCAGAGCCAGCTACACCCCAAAAATGCAAGCCTCCCAAGCCCAAAAAGTCCTGACGCTGAACCCGCTATACACGCCTCCGATGCGATGTTTGCTGCCGTCGCCCGCGAGAGGCCGCTTTGGTTCCGAAGCAATGACTCGGGCGCCTGCACTCAATCTCAAATCTGACGCTTGCCCCGGGCATCCATATCAGAACTTGGCTTCTGAGACACTCCATCCGGAGGTATCAAAGAGATATAGAGCATTGAGCTGGCGACTGCTCAGCCTCATGTAGGGTGCACAAGCCACAGAGTCATAACCCCATTGTAATAACAACATGTTGTGCTACTTACGGACATCGTCGTAACTGTGCGACCATGCCTAAATAAGCAGAATGTAACTTCCCTCGACTGATATCCAGTCCTTAGGTCTAATTGCAGAAAATGAATTGACAAGGGCTCGAGGGGCATAGAAGCCATCTGTGAAGTGCGGTCCTGCCTCTCAGACCATCGAATGGTGCACTAAATCATTCAGGGAACTTGCACGGGCTATGGCTTCATGTTCAGGATTTGGCTGGTGCAGCGTGCACGGTAATGAGTATCTATTCAGAGAGTATGTCTTATGTATGCGACAAGAACTTAACAGAAACATGTGGCCCCCTTTGGCCCAGAGGGGAACAATCCTGTCTCATGTTAGTCTGACTTTGTTCGCAGACTCTTGAGCAAAGGCATACAGCATTATCACGATTACCATCATTCCTAGTATTACAACTACGACCACCCTTACTGCTATTACGACCATTGCTACTAGTACTTCTAGTAATTACTGCTATAACTACAGCTCTTATTATAATTACTACTATGAATATCATATCTTCAGGATCTGCCTCTGACTCGTCTTGAGAAGGTGCCTGCGAAGTTCTGCCTTTGGAGACGCGAAGGGGGCTTACAGACGCGATGTTTTTTGGGTCCTGCCCCACCCATTAACAGTCTGTAATAGGGGTCATATTAAGGGATCTACATCGTTGTATTATAACTATTATCCAGCTGTTACATCTGTTAATGAGGAGGGGCATTACCCAACGTTGGTGTTTGTGCATAAGCTTGTGGGGGGGATATTGATTGAGACAAATCACGTTGCTCATGTAGAAACCTATACACTTGGATAAAGCTGAGGGAATGTTCCGAGGAATAAACAAGCTTAGGGCTGAGTCTCCTGCAGCGCAAAGAGAGATAACAGAAGCTTACTCAAACAGCTGTTTGCAGTATGGCGTGGCCATCTTGTAGTCCAGAGGTACCCTCAATGTAGTCAAGGAATCACTGCATCAATCACGACACCAGCCCCCAGGACTTTTGGAACAGAAAAGGAACTGACAACATCCCCTTTGAAGATCTGCCCATCGCGACCCCGATGGCGCCTTCAAGTTAAGATCTGGGTTGGCCCTTCAAACCCTTCGAAAAATACTAGTATCTAGGGTCCCTCATTAAAGCCATTAGGGANNATCCCAGGGGCCTACCCAGAGATGTACGGAGCCCAGCATGTCAAGTTCAAGCCACCCTGAAGCTCCAGGTGCAGTAATGATAAAATCCCTCCAAGACCGTCATCC